ATTTCTGCTGCGTGCTAGTAGTTAAACTAGTGGCGGGAATATTTATTTGTAAATTAATTATAAGTCATTTATAGAGAGCCTTTACGTTTTAGTTTGGTCGGGGGAATTTAATCAACAATAATTTACTTGAAATAGTGCCAGTGTATATCTGTCCGTATCAGTAGTTTTACTGATTTTTGTCTTTTGTTCCAAGGGTTGAGACTTGTGAATTTCAATCACTGTTATTTATTTTCGCTGTTCACGTATTACTGAATAAAATTATAAAACTTTACATCGGAGTTTTTGTTCTCAACACAAGGCAGGCGTTCCGAAGCGTTACAATTTTGGCATCCACGGCGGGATCCGTTAAAGTTTACGGGTCCTGTGATCGAATCATAACAACGCTTTGTCTGTGTTTGAGAAACAAAAATTTTATTGAGCAAACATCAAATAAGAATAAATCACTATGGCAAGTCGTAAAAGTCGACGGAGGCGTCGTAGTCTTCAAGAATCTAGATCTACCTCACGGGTTTCGTGCTCCTCCGTAGATACTGTAAGAGAAAATGAAAGCGAATGTGAATTTCCATGTGAAGGAGCTGACATGCACAGAACTAAGCCATTTGTTCATTCAAAGGAAGAAGCCTCTCAATTAACAAATTTACATGACTCAGATACAAGTTTAATGCTTGTGAGTTCTCAGGCAGACGTTGTGAGAGATGGAGAATCTACACCTTTTATTGGAAACTCAGATACAGTTTCTGTAAATGTGAGTTCTACCACAGAGCAGCCACAGACAGCACACAGTGTAGTTACGCCTAAAATGAGCCATCTTCACACCTGTGGTCCCACAACTCAGATGCCTTTTGTACCTGTTTGCTCACATTTGCTGAGAATTTGTGTACAGGTTTTCCTAGAGAGCCGACAGCTGTCCCTAGTATGTATATACCTGCAGTCCCTAGTACAGGTACTCTCATGAGCCCCTCCATTATACAGACAGCAAGTCCAGTATCTGGGTTACCTGTGAACTCTCATGCACACAGCACTTCTTTGAGTTAATGTACAGGTACAAATTATCACGCTACCTTACCTGTAAACTCTTATGCAGTTCCTTGTACTGTGAGTTTTCAAGGTCCTGTTTATTGTCATCAAAACCAGAGCGTCCATATGTTAACCCCATTCCCCACAATTACAACATCAGCTCACAGCATTTGCTTGAGAACTCATTTACCTCTAGGCTTATGTCAGGTGCTGTGCCTGTTAGTTTGCGTACAGGTTCTGTGCCTGTTAGTTCGTGTACAGGTTCTGTGCCTGTTGGTCAAAGTACAGGTTCTGTACCTGTAAGTTTGTGTACAGGGTCTGTACCTGTGATGCCGAATCAGACCTTCTCTGCTCTGAGAAGTGCAAGAGACTTATCCAGTACGAGAAGCGAGCAAACTGCACTTATCCAGCTCACGGAGATGGTAGAGCATTTACAAGAGAAAATTAAACAGCTCTCTGAACAAGACCACCAAAGGACCAACCCTGACAAAAGACAATCAGATACATGTAGTGCATCTCATGAGTGTTTGAGTAGCGACAGAGAAACATCGCAAGAGTCTGACTTTGTGTACCGGAAAAAGGCTAAGCATCGCAATGTAAAGATTCCTCCATACACAGGGAAAGAAGACTGGTCTGTCTGGTTCTGTCGTTTTGAGGAAGTCGCAGACAGATACCACTGGACAACAGATGACAAACTGGACCAATTACTGCCCAGGCTACATGAAGATGCTGCTGACTTTGTATATGGCCAATTATGGAAAGAGTCGAGAAGCAGTTACAAAAGACTTACGAAGGAACTGACCAATCGTTTCCGTGCCATCGAGACCGAACATATCTGTCGAAATTTAATAACAGAGTTCAGAAGCCTGGTGAGCGAGTTCAGGACTTTGCTGCTGATCTAAAGCGCCTGTATGTCAAAGCCCACCCAAAGCGAGACTCAAAGACTAGAGAGAAAGACTTGCTCAGGAAATTTTTAGATGGTCTGGCGGATAGAGAAGCCCAATTCCATGTGGATTACGTCAAGGACCCATCAGATATACATGAAGCAGTACGACAGGTTATAAATTATGAAGAAGCAGGTCGGCCTTCATCTAAGAAGCATGTCATAGAGGTAAGTGATTCTGAATCAGAAGCCACGCCTAAGACAGTCACTAAAGCCAAGTCGGTGACAAAGAAACGCATCAGAAATGTAAAGTTCAGCCAAAGAAACAAACAAGGGTCAGGTAGCACTATCGAAGCCTTGCAGAAACAAATCAATGAGATGGCAAAAGTTCTCAGCAACCTGACTAAGTAGAGCAACACTGGGACACAGCCAAGTAGGCCTATTATTGGTACATCTCAACCAGACATGTCTTCAGGTCAAACGACTCCTCTGGACAGACCACACAAACCTAGCTGTTTTTACTGCAAAGGTGAAGGTCACTTCATAAGGGACTGCCCAAAGAGAATTAATGACCTGCAAGTCTCAAAGGCACCTTTAAACAGGCATTAGCCGTTCCTGTGGGTCAAGGACCGGCTACAGAAGAAACTGACGGACAGACGAACAGTTTAGACCCACCAACACACAGACAACCAGAAAATTTTGATGAGTCAAAAGATTTTTGTTTTATTTCTAATCGAATACCAGATGCAGATGGTGTGTACATAGAAGGAAAAGTAAATGGTTTTAGACGTCCACATTACAACAGATACTGGTGCATCCAATACTATACTTTCATACAAAGTGTATGAACAACTCAAAGAGGTGAACAGACCCAGACTTCAAGGAAAGTCACATTTACGAGGAGCTGACGGAAGTACCATTCATGTTTATGGGAAAGGAGCGTTTGAATTGCAACTTGGTTCCTTGACCTTAAAGAAAAATCTTTTGGTAGCTGATATCCAAAATGAAGTGTTGCTTGGAGTGGACATCCTGCAGAATAGTGATATTGGTCAAGCAGATATTCCCCTGAGTAAAGGACTGATACGGTTCAAAGAACATGATATTCCATGCATACAACGTGGTGTGCATAAAGATATTACCATCCGTTGTGTGGAGAGATGTGATATACCTGGAAATACAGAAGTAATAATACTGGCTTTTATTCAGCGTGAATGTGAGGTTGTTGTTGATGAGGACCTTATGTTCGTGCCAAGTGGAGATCTTATGGAGAAGACTTCCTTACTGTTTGCCACAGCAGTTCTTAACATCAGAGGGAAGCTGAGTGTTCCCCTGAGAGTTATGAATCCTTTTGATGAAGGAAAAACGCTTTATCCAGACACAGTAGTGGGTACTGTTGAAGGATATGGGGGAATAGTAGATGTTATCCAACCGGTTTATAGTGACGTAAGAAGCCTTTGTCGATCTACTGAACTTTCGCCTGGAAAAGCATGTGAGGTTCCAGATCATTTACGTGAGCTTTGTGACAGCTCTTCCCAGTCCTTAAATATGTCAGAAAAAGAAGCATTTCGGAAATTCTTGCACGACCATCAGGATGCATTTTCAAAAGATGAATGGGACCTAGGGCAAACCAATTTAGTCGAACATGAGATTAATACTGGTGAAAGTAAACCTGTAAAACAGCACCTCGTAGAGTTCCAATAGCACTAGCCAATGAGGAGAGAGATGCCATTCTGAAACTTCGAGAGAGGGGCATAATACAACCTTCTACATCACCTTGTCCTCTCCACTGGTCTTAGCTAGAAAGAAGAATGGAAAAATAAGAGTCTGTGTGGATTATCGAGCAGTAAATAATTAACAGTTAAGGATGCATTCCCACTTCCACGAATTCAAGACTGTCTAGATTCCGTTGCAGGAGCTTCAATGTTTTCCACTCTGGATTTGACAGCAGGATATCACCAAGTCAGAGTTAAGGCTGAAGACATACCAAAAACAGCATTTGTTACAAAATATGGTCATTTCGAGTATAAAACCATGCCTTTTGGACTGACCAATGCACCAGGTACATTCCAGAGGCTTATGGAGATGGCATTAAATGGCCTCCAGTGGGACATTTGTCTTATTTATTTGGACGATATAGTGATATTTAGCAGAAATTTTGATGAACACATGTCCAGACTCAGCCAAGTGGTTCAGAGAATAACAGATGCAGGTTTAAAATTTAAACCTGAGAAATGTAGCCTTTTTCAAGATGAAGTTATTTTCCTTGGTCATAGAGTCACTAAAGATGGAGTCTTACCAGGTAAGCAGAATGTAGAAAAGATTTTGAATTGGAGCAGACCAAATAATGTTACTGAAGTACGACAATTCCTTGGAACTGCCTCTTACTACAGGAGATTTATAAAAGGGTTTTCGGTGATAGCTAAACCTCTTACTGAACTTACACAAAAGAACCATTCTTTTCGCTGGACAGACTTATGCGAGAAAGCATTTCTGCAACTAAAGAAGATCCTTACTGGGCCCGATATAATGGGATATCCTGACCCAAACCAAGGCCATTTTATTCTCGACACAGACGCCTGTGATGTAGGCATTGGTGCCGTATTGAGCCAAGTACAGGATGGACGTGAGAAAGTGTTAGCCTATGGGAGTCGAACCCTAAACCGTGCTGAAAGGAACTATTGTGTAACTGATAAAGAGCTCCTTGCCGTTCGTTACTTTGTGGAATACTTTAAACAATATCTTTTAGGACAAAGATTTATACTACTATATATATAGGACTGATCACCAAGCATTAGTCTGGCTGTATAAACAGAAAGAACCTAAAGGAAGAGTGGCTCGGTGGATTGAAATATTGTCAGCCTACAATTTTGAAATTGAGTACTATTAACCACCTTTTATTCGCGTGCGAGAAATCTTCGCGAGTACCGCGAGAGCCTTATCATCGTGAATATTTCTCGCCGCGAACCGGTCCAGAAATATCTGTTTCTATTAACAACAGATACTAAAAAGTTTTGATCGCGAAAATTAATCGTCGCAAATTAGTTTATCCCCCTTTAATCGCGAAATAAAGTCGTCGCGAATAAAAGTTGGTTTACAGTATATGCCTGGTACACAGCATGGTAATGCCGACGGTCTATCAAGATGTCCTAACCCAGCCGACTGTAGCTGCTCAGAGGGTGACAGTTTAGAAAGCCTGAAATGCGGACCTTGTATTAAGTGCAGAAAGAGAGCTGAGACTATGGAAACTCAGGAAAACCTTAATCAGGGGGTTGCTATTCGTGTGACGACAAGAAAGCGTGACAGTTCTAAAAATTTACCTGAAGGGACACAATTGATGTCAAAGTACAACTCATCAAGACTACAATGTCTCCAGATGGAAGATAATGGTATTGGTCCAGTGCTTAAAACTGGCAGGAAGTAAACCCACAAAAGAGAAAGTGGTCAAATATTCTCCAGCAACCAGACATTATGTTTGTTTATGGGATCAACTGTATTTAAAAGATGACGTTTTATATATAAGGAATGTACAACCACAATGGGTTTTACAATGACACAATTCATTGTACCAGAGAAACTTAAATTAGAGATTTACAACTCTGCCATTGTTCCTTGTTAGCCGGACATTTGGGCATTAAGAAGACCAAACACAGGGTAACACAACAATTCTATTGGTATGAAATGAAAGACTCAGTTAAAACGTTCATTCTGTCTTGTGAGTCCTTTGCAGCTAACAAAACACCAAACAAGAATCCTAAAGCCAAGTTGGGAAGCTGTCCCGTGGGTGCACCTTGGGAGCGACTGGGTGTTGATTTCCTTGGTCCGCTACCAGTAACAAAACAAGGAAACCACTATATTATGGCATGCATAGATTATTTCTCCAAGTGGGTCGCAGCTTTTCCAGTGCCTGACCAGACTGCTCGTACTACTGCAAAAGTCCTACTAGATATAGTTTCCCGTTTTGGTTGCCCATTATCTTTACATTCGGGCCAAGGCAGAAATTTTGAATCTAATATAATAGCTGAAATGTGTAGCTTCCTTCAAATAAAGAAAACCAGAACAACACCTAGAAATCCTGAAGGCAATGGCCTGGTTGAAAGATTCAAGATTCAACCGAACTCTTATCCAGATGATTCGTGCTTATATTATCATGGGTGATGAATGGGATATTTACCTTAGTTGTGTTACTGCTGCTTATCGTTCTACCCCTCAGGAGTCCACGGGGTTGACACCGAATATGCTGATCTTTGGACAGGAGGTCCGCCTTCCCTCTGAGGTCATTTACAGGCCTGAAACGTCAACAAAAGAATTAACCTCATCTTATGGTAACTACGTTGAGGAAATAAGAAGTCAACTTAATAAAGCGCACGAAATATGTCGCAAATATTTGGGACGAGCAGCTGAACGCCAGAAAAACTTGTATGACTCTAAGACATGTATGAACAGTTATTCAGTTGGTGACGTAGTATGGAAACTAAACGAGAACATATATGTTGGAGAATGTGCCAAACTACAACCTGTCTACATAGGACCATGTGTTGTGGTCAAAGTCCACAGTGACCTTGTCTTTGAGATACAACTTGATGCCCGTGGTCAGCGAAAAGTTGTAAATCACAATAAATTACTGCCATATCGTGGAAGTCAGCCACCGAAGTGGGTTCAGAACATTGAACAAAAATTAAAGAAAATTTAGTTAGGTGGACTGGTGCAGTATTGTGATTTTCTGGTGTACACATATTGTGGTGTTTTCATTTCCTTAATAAAAAAAGAGTTTACCTGATCGAAGATGTATATGAATTACTTGTATAGTGATCAAGTCTCAACCTATGTGTAGGAGGGGGACCCTGATTTATTAGACAGAGATGATATTTGAATAATTTCATTAGGATGTACCAATATTTGTAATTGGTTGTGATTTACCAACTATGTTGTTGGGTTATTCAATACATAATTACCAGTAATTTGTTATTGGTTCTTACATTTTAGACAATGTCCTCCCTGTTAAGAGCGTCTGCCGGGAAGAGGGGGCACGTGTATGAGTGCAAGCCCTGTGGATTCCGTGGAGAGAAGTTGGCCGTCACGAACCACAACTTCGTCAAGCACCTTACATACAAGGATTACCCTTATCATTGTACTCTATGTGACTTTGCTGCGGTTCACAAGTCGAAGTTCCTGAAACACACCAAATGGTATTTGGAACACAAGATGCGGGCGGGGGAGAGCGCTGACACTGACAGTTCTGTTTATATGGCAGTCCGTGACAATTCCAAGATTTTGCAAGAAATGATGAGGTCGTTGACGATGGAGGAGTCGATCATCCACTGGGAATCCAAGAAGAGGCCAGCCAAACCTGTGACCCTCCCCATTGCCATTTCCTCTTTGCCACCGTCTTCGTTGCTGCCATCATCCAGCTCCATTTCCTCTGTGCCACCGCCTTCGCTGCCATCCTCCAGCTCCATTTCCTCCTTGCCACCGCTGTCGCTGCCATCCTCCAGTTCCTCTTTGCCACCTCCTCAGTCACCTACCGCAGCTACTGTGCCGACCGACCTTGCTTCGGAATCTTGCCTGCCAGAGCTGTTGACCGAGGAGGATCATCAGCTCCTTAAAAAGTTTTTCATCCAGGAGCCGGTGGAGCCCCAGTCGTCCCTGAGAGAGGAGAACGCCCGCCTCCAGAGGGAGATAGAGCGGCAGATGCGAGTTATCCGGCAGAATCAGACCACCATATCGGACCTTAAGAAGAGGGTGGATTCCGGACCTGGTCCTGTTTCAGATGTCAAGTTTGTACATGATGGCCCCGGCGAGGGCGAACGATACAACCCGATCCCCCGCAGACGGTCCCCAAGGAAGTCTCCGAAGAAGTTGCAGTCCGTGGTAAGAGTGCCGAGGAAGATCCTTCCGAAGCCCCCACGTCGATTTACCGAGCACCAGTCTCCGTTGGATGACCTCTTTCGGCCGGATCATTTCAGATCCAGTCGTCCTTATTATAATAAGAGACATTAGATATATTTCATTGTTAATTTTGAGCAGTAAGTATAAGTATAAGTAATGTAAGTTAAGAAAGAATTCATTTCATGCATTGTCAAATATATGTTGTAAATTGGGTTAGGAATGGGATGATTTGTGGACTTTATGTGTATTTTTTTTTTAAATTGATATTTCAACTATTAAGCCTTATAATGATATTTTGCTTGCCGAGAGCTTAGTGTCCTTCCTCTTTTCTGTAATCCTCATCCTCTGAATGAAAATAAGAAAGGTTATACATTACTTGTTATTTACAAGTTATACTTATGTCTTAACTGTTATTAAGACCATTTTTCTTTTTGTAAGATAAACTCATTCTTTAAATGGCAGTTATTAAATATTAATTAAATTATTATCATTCATGTACATTTTAACTTACTTACTTTATCACACTGTATACTATGCTCTGCTCATTTGTCTTCATGAAATTATGATGAACTCCATGTTTTGATTTAGCATTTTGTGTTTATGTATAAAGTTTCTATCATATTGATTTGTGATATGCATGAAGGTTGACATTGTAGTTTCATATTCTGTAAAATTTCTATGATTTTTTTCATTACTAGAGATGTGAATTTTTGAGGAGTTGATACACATTTTATGATGTAATCTTGATTTGTGAAGCACAGTATTTATTTTGAGTAATCTCCCTTGTGTATTTTGACCACTGTAGCTGTGTTCATAGAAGTATAAGTGTATCGAGTATATTGATTGATTGATTGAATATATATTGTTTAACGTCCCTCTCCGAATTTTTCACTCATATGGAGACGTTATCGAGTATATAAAGCAGTAATATGTTATTAATATCGTTTTAATTAATTGTTGTATGTGAATTATATTGTTTGTTTTTTGAGTCCAAAGGGAATTGGACTCTTAAAGAGGGGCAAAATGTAACGATCCCTCCCCCCACTTTTCATGTGTTTCGATGTGTTTAATGTTAGACATCGTCTTGTTATTTAATTACACGCTTTTTGTTGGCCTAATTGTACATACATAATCATAAAGTTGCGCTGTAATTCAGGATTATCTTATAGTTACCTTATTTGTCGTGTGATCGATGTTTTTATCGTCTTCGAGCACACACGCTTCACTGAAACTTCTGCCGCCGCCATACTTTGCTTACTTGTGTGTTTCTCATGATGCATCACGGTGATCTATTTTTACTGGAGTTATTTCGGCAGAAGATTTGATTGTAACTTCTTTTGAATTAAATGTTAAACACTGTTAAATGAGCTTTTAAAAGTGTAACTTTATGTTTTATTGATTAATTTAATTTATTTACGTATTGTAATAATTTTACATACGATGTGCGAGAGTGAGATTTCATTACGGGACGATAGTTGTATTTGATTGGCTGATTATAATTTACGGGATGGAATTATTAGTTATGATTGGTTATCAATTATTGCGGGTTTTGTTACTAAATACTCAGATGCTGAATATCGTTGGCTCTCTCGTTTTCTTTGCGTCCTAGAGAAAGGTCTGCAGTTTTATATCCAGTTTCGGGTGTGTACTATTTCAGTATCTAAGTGACTGAAGTACATAATATGTAATGTTAGGTTAGGCTAAAATAATAACTACTAGTAGTTGTACTAGTTTTATTTATAATTACTAGTTGAGAACTAGTTATTTTTATCTTCTTTAGCCCAGTTTAGGAGTTAGGAAATATTTCTGCTGCGTGCTAGTAGTTGAACTAGTAGCGGGAATATTTTTTTGTAAATTAATTATAAGTCATTTATTGAGAGCCTGTACGTTTTAGTTTGGTCGGGGGAACTTATTCAACAATAATTTACTGGAAATAGTGCCAATGTATATCTGTCCGTATCAGTAGTTTACTGATTTTTGTCTTTTGTTCCAAGGGTTGAGACTTGTGAATTTCAATCACTGTTATTTATTTTCGCTGTTCACGTATTACTGAATAAAATTATAAAACTTTACATCGGAGTTTTTGTTCTCAACACAAGGCAGGCGTTCCGAAGCGTTACAGTTCTTTGAAAGGCTGATTGCCCCCCCCCCCCCTCCCACTTTATACTACATGTAATTGATATCAGGAAAATGTAGTATTGAATGCAAAAAAAACTGGTACTGAAAGAAGTTGGCATTGAAAAAAGTTGGCCTCTACCCTGACTGACATACCTCTTACTAATTGTAAGGCCTTTGTCTTATATCTGACTACAGATTATTCCTTCTAACTGAACAATACACAGGGTTCACACCAGATGTGACCAGTCGACGGGGATACTTACTTCTACAAGGTACCTAGCTGATCCAACCTCGGGAATATATACTGTAACTATACTGTAGGTCCTTGTCATAAGTTTGGTTCTAAGATTTGTATCGTTTGTACTTTTACTTTAGGGCCGATCACTTTTTGTTTGTCGGTAATGTCATTTATTTAACCATACTTATTGTTCAATGATATCCATACCAGGGATATCAAAAAAAGTCGTAGCATTTATTGCGATATAATTGACTGTGTCACTCCTGATTCAGTAGTATCAAAACCTGTTTAAACAGTTATTAGACATTTTAAATTAGGAATTTTATGAATAACAAGCTACTTACAGAACCAAATTTTGTTCATGTTGTGACATGACCCGGCGAGTTTTCCTTTGAAGTCAAACGTACTGTAACTGATACAGAACATTTCTTGTGGGTCTTTCTTATGCAAATGAGCAAAAACTTTACTGTATCTGCTAAATATCAACGATATAGTACGGTTTATTTTTAGCGATGACGGAAAGCTGTATCCCTATACAGGAGACATAATCGTTCAATTCGCATGATTTACTCAAAATTTGAGGCATACAATTTTACAACGAATGACGGATTAAAAAAAAATCAAGAAGGAGAGAGTGTTGCAGTTATTTCACAAATGATTACTTTAATTGACAAAAAAAAAATGGAAAATTGTATTTCTTGTGTGTCTGGGGGGGGGTGTGTTAAATTTATAATAAACCAAGACACTATGTGCGTAATATCGTTAATTGTTGATAAATTAAAAAGCGTACGTATACAAGTTAAAATAAAAAAAATGCAAAAATAATTCACGAAAGCCAAAAAGAAAAAAAGCTCAGGGGGGCATACCAAGGCTTACCAGTGAGTGCTGAATCACCCTTTTACTCTACATTTTATTAAAACATGAAAGTAAAATAACCCCCCCCCATTCCTTTCATCTGTTTATTTCAATTTTGAATAAGACGACCGGTGGAGGACATTGTCGGAAATTTCTCTCAGAGTACGATCTCCCCGCTGCATTTTTGTTTCATAAATATTCCCACATTATTCTTATATATCAAAATGTTTTTACTAAAAGAATGCTGAACAGAGAAAAAAAAACCCTACGCAATCAAATCTAAATCAAATTTTTAGAAAAATTATATAATACATCTTATATATTTCTGCACGTCTACCCCACTCGACATTTCAGTTGCGAATGCTTAAAATGAAATCAACTTTCTGCAAAATCGGCTGATTGGATGAGAGATATGTACCCAAATACGCATGTAAATTAGTGAGGTCATTAGAAAGGTCATTTCACAAGTCATTAAGAATACTCGTTTCCTGCTGTATCGGAGGTATCCCTCTCGCCTCAAGCTCCGCCCTGTATCTCCGATACAGTAGGAAACTCGTACTCTATATTACTTATAAATCTGCTTGCCCGAAATT